AAAATAAAAATAAAAAAGAGACACTAGCGGCACATCAAAGCTCTGATCACAACACCATTGGTATTATAGAAAAGATTTTGACGAGATAATTCTCATAACACCAATAAATATCATCAATGATGACCCCAATGGTCCACATTTATCACCCAAAAATGACAACAAATGTTTTATCTCTCCTCTCTTCTCTTTTTTTATGTACAATCTTATTCATAATTTTTTGAAAGGTTGTATTTTTGAATAGCGATAAATTTAAATGTTATATTTTTTATTATAACATGTAAAAATTGTGTTATTTCGTTATATTTTTTTTTAATTATGTTAGTTTTCTAATATTTTTTTAAATGCTATTAAAAAAATCAACTGAAAGTGTGTACAAAAACAGTGTAATTTGAACGAAACCATAAAATTCAATACAATTCGTATATAATACACTTTTAGCATTGATCGATAGGTGGTGATGGATATTTTCAAGTGTTCTAATTCGTTAGAAAAATGTGAGATTTGATAATTACTCAAATTATCAGTCTATTGTCAAATTTCATCAAGCACGTATATGAAGGTTTGGATATTGTGATCTTGAAATAAGTTCACGTGGCATGAATATCTATCAAGTAGATTGGCACCAAACCATTGAATCTTTCATAAACTGGGACCACTTAAAACGCAAGATTTTTTTAACCCCGTTCATAACACAATATCAAACATGTCTATATTCTCTGTTTGGTAATCAATGAATCCCAGATATTAAGACTTATGACAAAAACGATGTCACTTTAAACAAGTTGGTCTTTTTTTTAATGATTATGAAATATATAAAAATTCAAAGAGAGGGCTAATTGAGCAAATCCCACTAGACGGGGGATCCAATTGAGATTCCAAATGATAATTAGTTAAGACCTGGTGGGTGAATATATTCCCTCTACTATGTCTTAAATTAAAACAGTTTTGGAGATTGTAATAAGAGTTGTTTTTTAAAATAATTTTTATTTAAAAATATATTAAAAAATATTTTTTTATTGTTTTAAAAAATATTTTTGATATAAGTATATTAAAATAATTTAAAAAACAATTTAGATAAAAAAATTTATATAAAATTTAGAAAATTGTACTATTTTTTTAAATTATTTTTTTTATAGGTATTTGGTAAAAACTTTTTGGTTCTCCATCGCTACCTAATGTATGAAAAATGGGAAGAAGTATGTGATTGCGTTAGTGATTAATGCAAAGACTTTTTGCTCTTAGCTAAGTTTACACGTCGTGAATTGACAACAAAAAAGGAAAGGGAAATGGGAAATCCTTGACCTTAGATGCTGTTTATTTTATTGTTTTAAAATGAAAGAGGTAGAGATAATTAGGTCTGATTTTTTTATTAAAAATTTATTTTTTAAAAAGATATAAATATATTATTTTAACTAAATACATTTTTATTTTATATCTTTTACCCTCAACCACTAAGATAGTAGAAATGTTTTTTTATTAAAAATTAATTTTTTTATATTTTTAAATAATTTTAATATGCCAATCTTAAAAATAATTATTAAAAAATAAAAAAATATTATCTTAATATATATCAACTCAAAAAATAATCAGAATTTCAAACTTTCTATAACAAACCCTATCTAAAAATTAATTCAATACCTCTCCTTTCCTTTCAAGTTTACACACAAGATTGAGCAGGTGCGATATCTGATATGGACAGCCACATGGTTCTCTAAGAACAAGAAATTGACTTATTTTATTTTATTATTATTATTTTTATGGCATCCATTAAAGACAAATAATAACGTGCATAAAGCTCTTACGCCTTCGTGATTATGAAGTCAAGGAAAAAACAAGAAGTGGGAAATGAAGACTTCAAGCCGCGATCCCCAAATGGGATCTGGCACACTGTAAAAGCATGGGTGATAAATAATCAATCAATATTAATAAATAATTTCAAATTATATAATATTAAAGTTTATCTAGCGTGACTTGTTAGATTTATTAGTGGATTCAAACTGACTTATTATTCAGTTCAAAACTCAATCTCACTAAATTAATAATTGAGATGATGATTATTTTAATCCAACCCATCACATTATAAGTAATGAACCTGAATTATATGATAATAAAATTATTTTTCTTAGAAAAAGCAACCATTGAAAATAAAATTCTAGCACACTTCTTTGTTTTTATTAATATTTTTTTATTTTTTTGTTATGGATTCTTAATATGATAAATATAAAAATAATCTAGATGAATTTAAAAAAAAAACCATCTTTTTTAGTTTAAACCCATTTATCTAATTAATGCACTTTTCTTTGGCATTTTTCTCACCAAAATTTTTATTTTCTAAAAACATAACTTGTCATAATCTAAAGGCAAGTTTTAATTTAAAAAATTCAATAATTTTGATGTGAATATATAAGAACAACACACTCCTCGTGTGTTAGCGACGGAAGAGGGGTTTTTGGAATCTATTTCTATTTAATTATATTAAAATTTAGATTTTTAAATAGTAAAATCGAGTTTTGTATTTTTTATAAATATTTTAGATCTATATCTTAACTTTCTATTTATATAAAGTAGACATAAATCCAAGTTCTACAGTTCCAGATGTGACCCAATAACTGAACTGTGTTTCAATTTGGATTGAACCAGTACCTCTTTTTTAAATTTCACCCTCTCTTTGTTTTCTCAATTTCAATAGTTGAACTTATTAATTAATTTTTTGATTTATGTGATAGGCCTGCATTTAAGATGAATGTTTACCATAAATTAAAGATATCTTATAGTATCAGATTTGTTATTATAAAACATATTTTAGTTAAGAAGTTATTGATACTTCAATTGTAAAATACTGATATAAAATATAAAAGCTTAATAAAAATATACTTTTAAATACTAATCAATTACTGACAATAAAGAATGTAAGGGGCAAGTTGATCCTAAAGTGAGATGATCCCTTTAAAGACACGATAAATATAAAAATAATCTAGATGAATTTTTTTTTAAAAAACCATCTTTTTTAGTTTAAACCCCTTTATCTAATTAATACACTTTTCTTTAGCATTTTTCTCACTAAAATGTTTATTTTCTAAAAACATAACTTGTCATAATCTAAAAGCAAGTTTTCATTTAAAAAATTCAATAATTTTGATGTGAATATATAAGAACAACACACTGCTCGTGTGTTAGCGAGGGAAGGGGGGTTTTTGGAATATATTTCTATTTAATTATGCTAAAATTTAGATTTTTAAATAGTAGAATTGAGTCTCGTATTTTTTATAAATATTTTAGATCTATATCTTAACTTTCTATCTATATAAAGTAGACATAAACCCAAGTTCTACAGTTCCAGATGTGACTCAATAACTAAATAGTGTTTCAATTTGAATTGAACCAGTATTTTTTTTTTAAATTTCACCCTCTCTTTGTTTTCTCAATTTCAATAGTTGAACTTATTAATCAATTTTTTGATTTATGTGATTGGCCTGCATTTAAGATGAATATTTACCATAAATTAAAAATATCTTATAATATCAGATTTGTTATTATAAAACATATTTTAGTTAAGAAGTTATTGATACTTCAATTGTAAAATACTGATATAAAATCTTAATAAAAATATACTTTTAAGTACTAATCAATTACTGACAATAAAAAATGTAAGGGGCAAGTTGACTCTAAAGTGAGATGATCCCTTTAAAGACATGAGGGTATTTAAGATAAATATTTATCATTTACAAGATATAAAAGGGAAGAATTTTTCTTGTACCTCACACTTTGATCATTTAAAAATATATTATAGTTAATGAAAAAGAATATAAGTTTTTTATATATGAGTTGATTTATTCAAAAATAATGTTTTTAAAAAATAATATTTTTATTATCTCCATGTGATGCTTGAGAATCTCTTATCAATTTTTTAAGAATGAGATTAACTCAGTTTTTCTAGTTATAAAAATAAATAAATATTATTATTAAAAAATTAATAAAAAATAAAGAACTCAATGACAAAGATGTGAGCATTGAATGATAAAAAATAAAAAATTCTGATATAATTATTATCTTATATGTATAATTATGTGAGATTTTAATTTTATATTAGTATAAATATTTTATTTGACATATAATTGGTTTAATTATTAGTTATATTTAAAGAAATTATTTAATAACAGATTAAAGCATAATTTAATTGTCTTTTGCCTCATCTCTTTTGTCTTTATTATTTCTGTTTTCACATTGAAGATAATAACCAAACATCAAGTGAAAAACGTGGAAAACAAGGACGGAAAATAAACCCCCTTCTAGAAGTCTCTCCCTTCCGCCAATAATTTAACTATATTCTTTTATTTGGATTAAATTTAAACCGGCCGGGCAAGCTTGGAAATAAGAGGTTTTTTAACTTTTATTGGAGAGAGAGAGAGAGAGAGAGAGAGAGAGAGAGAGAGAGAGAGAGAGAGAGAGAGAGAGAGAGAGAGAGAGAGAGAGAGAGAGAGAGAGAGAGAGAGAGAGAGAGAGAGAGAGAGAGAGAGAGAGAGAGAGAGAGAGAGAGAGAGAGAGAGAGAGAGAGAGAGAGAGAGAGAGAGAGAGAGAGGCTTTTCCCTCTAATATAAAATAAAATTTTAGGATGAAGAGAAACTAGAAGCCTTTGTTTATAGAGTTTTTAAAAAAAAATTAATAGAAAAAAGAAAAAACTCAATTGAGCGGCATGCTCAAATCCTTTTATATTGATGATATTCGATTGAGTTTATTTATTATCACCACGAAATCTGTTTCAAGACTTGCACGTTAGATTTTGAAGGAACTGTAAAATATAGAAAGTGAAGACAGACGGATTAGAGACCACTCGATGAAGATATACCGAATTTGATTCCATGATTTGGCTTCTTTAGTGAATGAAACAAGAAAACAGAGAAACAATGACTCGATAGGTTGTTTTTTTGTATTGTTTTATGTGATAAGTGGATTCTTTTGAGTTTAATCTCCTGGAATGTGATAAGTGATTAGTGATAAGTGGGTGCTGGTTCCTTTTAGTTTTTTACTCTCTCAGTTTAAAAGTCCTGATCAGTTATTGACCTCGAGGAATCTGGCTGTCAGTTTCTGTTCATGTCCTTTTGCATTTACACCGATTGTAGCCACCCAAAATGAAGACCAGCTTCACCAGATAATGAAGTGCTTGGGTTTTTTGGTCGGCCCTGAGTTTTAGTATTAATAGTCTTGTCTCTCTGTTTTCATTTCTGGTCTGAGCTCAAACATCATACAGTTGATCCTGCAAGAAATAAAGGGAGTGTTTCTCATGGCTGTGATGGGATCAAGATGGTGGGGTTTGAGTTTGAGAATTATAGGAGGAGCAACTTTGATTGTTTCTCTTGGTATGGCTTCAATGGTTGCCATAGCTGAAGCAAGACTGAGAAAACAAGTTTCAAGTGTTCACGGGAGCAGCCCCCAGGTTGAGGCTGGTCTTTTGATGAGAGTATTAAATTTCTTGTGGCAAAAAGGTTTATATGGATATACACATGTCTGGCCGGTAAGTCCACTTGTATATTTTACTTCCTACGTGTTTTTGGGATTCTCATGTTGGCTCTTCATTGGTTTTTTTCTGTACCGCTGCTTAGAAAATGAAGTTAGGAAAAGAGTCTCAGGTTTAACCCTGGCCTCATGCTACCAATTTTCTCTGCTGAGCTTATTTTCCTCCTGGGAAATCAGAACTGACGAAAGATATTGGATCACAAAAAAACTGAGTTGACTATATTACATTAGTTGAGGTCCTCTTGTTTGTTGGCCTCTTTCTGTTTGTTGTTCCAGAAACCGTGGCATCTATCTGACACAACTTATGAGCATGGTTTGTGACAATGGATTCACAGGACATGAAATTTGGCTGGAGAATTGTAGTTGGAACCATAATTGGATTTTTTGGAGCAGCACTTGGGAGTGTAGGAGGTGTTGGTGGCGGTGGCATTTTTGTTCCCATGCTTACCTTGATTATTGGGTTTGATGCAAAATCATCTACTGCTATATCTAAATGTAAGAGAAATCTGTTGTTCTTCATGGACACTTCCGCTTCTATTAATTTTCTCTTGAGACGCCACAAGGCAGTTGTCTTAAGCTTAGATTTGTTTGTCCAGGTATGATTACAGGTGCAGCAGCTTCAACAGTATACTACAATTTAAAGCGTAGGCATCCTACATTGGATTTGCCCGTTATTGACTACGACTTGGCGCTCTTATTTCAACCAATGTTGGTGTTAGGAATCAGCATTGGGGTGGCTTTCAATGTGATTTTTGCTGACTGGATGATCACGGTTTTGCTAATCATTCTCTTTATAGGTATGCATCCATTCTTTCAAGTGAATTTCACCTCGTTTCTTTGATAACTTTCTTGATTAGTTGTGGTCTTATGCAGGCACATCAACTAAGGCTTTCTTGAAAGGTGTGGAAACATGGAAGAAAGAAACTCTATTAAAACAGGTGTGCTAACATCCTTCGTTCTTTCTTTACATCCAATAATTATATGCAGATGCGTAATAATTTCTGCATAATTTATCTCGCTTATTTCTGATTTTTCAGGAGGCTGCTAGGCGTTTGGAATCAAATGGTAATCTTGACGGTAAATTTTATTGACTTAGATATCGAGACATATTTACTCAAGTTTAATGCTTTTTAATCAGATGATGACAATGAAGAAGTGGAATACAAACCTCTTCCTGGAGGTCCAAGCGGTGAAGGAGAAGCAGAAAACAAGGGGCCTAAAAAAGAAGAGGTAAGATAGGAATACTAATATGTTTACATTTCATGAGTTACTGGTTTTGGGACTGACTTAAGTGACCTTGACAGGTCTCTATTATGGAGAATGTGTACTGGAAGGAACTTGGACTGCTCTTTGCTGTCTGGTGTGCAATCCTTGCATTGGAGATTGCCAAGGTTCTTGCTTTCTCTCTGTTCATTTTCATTAAATTGCCATCATTAATGAGCTTGAGTGGTTATGAAACCTTTTGCTTTGATGGCAACAGAATTATACAACTACTTGTTCGATGGCATATTGGGCGCTGAACCTATTACAGGTACCATGACTATGATCATTCTGAACTTCATTTTTTTTCCTAGCGTATGTGGCAAATTCGTTGCTGTGTCTTGGGACAAAGCTGTGCCAGGAAAAATTAATGAACATGTTATGGACTTGGTATTTTTTGGGTCTTCATTTGATTTTTTACTTTTCAGATCCCTGTGGCTGTTGGTGTGTCTTCATATGAGGCAGTAAGCTTGTACAAGGGACGAAGGAAGATTGCATCCAAGGGAGAGACTGGCACAAATTGGCGAGCACACCAGCTGGTCCTATATTGTGCCTGTGGTGTATTGGCTGGTATGGTTGGTGGCTTACTTGGTCTAGGTGGAGGATTCATCTTGGGACCTCTTTTTCTGGACTTGGGAATCCCACCTCAGGTGCAGTCCATGCGTTTTTTTAGAGTTTAATTATCCTTTGCGTGGCCATTAAAATACCACTTAAATAAAGGAAGGAAGGAAGCAAATGATCTTCTCTGGAAAAGAAAGAATAGTTTAATCATATTTTTGATACAGGTATCAAGTGCCACAGCGACCTTTGCTATGACATTTTCTGCGTCCATGTCAGTTGTAGAGTATTACCTCCTGAAACGTTTTCCAGTCCCTTACGGTAAGTTATTTACTGATCGACAAACACTTGAGCGAGCACCAAAACTAGAAGGTTATATATAAATTAGCGTTGGAAACCAGTTTCTTATAGAATCTTACCGTCTTTGATTCCCGAAACAGCTCTATACTTCGTTGCTGTGGCGACTGTTGCTGCCTTCGTAGGGCAGTTTGTGGTGCGAAAGCTGATCAATTTATTAGGGAGAGCATCACTCATCATCTTCATCCTTTCCTTCACCATTTTTGTGAGCGCAATATCACTAGGTATGTGTTGTTACAGAACAGTTTCACTGATTGATAACAGCAATGGATTTCCTTGGTGTTTTCCCCTTTTTTTCCCATCAATAATGGTTTGTTTTCCTCTCCAAACAGGTGGAGTCGGGATAGAAAACATGATTGAGAAGATTGAACACCATGAGTACATGGGATTTGAAAACATTTGTTCATATGAAGCGTAGTCCTGGAGAACTTTATTTTTTTCTTTTTTCCCTGTTATGTCAATCGCCTTTCCATCGTTTATTTTGGCTTCAACATCCTACGAGCACTTGATTTCAATTTCTGAATTCTCCATCTTGGGCAAGCCCAAATGTCCAAAAACTGCTACGTAGGCTTTAATCAATAATCAGTGGATGGTCTCAATAATTTAGGTTTCACTGTATTAGTGGTAGACTTGGAGGCTATTTTGAATATGATGTAAATCATGTTTTTTAAAAGTTTTAATTTTTTTTTTATTAAAAATTATTTTTTTATATGTTTTGAATTATTTTGATGTATTGATATCAAAAATATTTTTTTAAAAAAATTATTTTGATATTTTTCAGCACAAAAATATTTTAAAAAATAACCGCAACTATACTTTCAAACAAAATCTTGTGTGCACACCAAACTCACACTAATAAATATGTATGCATATGAATTAAGGATATTTAAAAAAATGATTAACCGATTAAATAAAAAATAAAGAAAAAATTAATTAAAAAACCAAATTAATAAATAAAATTAAAGAAACCAATTAAAATATAAACAAAATCACTCGGTTAGGTTTGGTTTTGGTTTTAAAAAGTTAAAATTGATTGAATTGGACTGAATTAGTTCAACTTTAAAAAATAAACAAGATATAAAAAAACATAATCTAACCCTAAATCATAATCATTTTATTCATTTTAAGTCATCCCTTTTACTCTTTTCTATCATTCTTTCTTGTTAACCTACCATTTAAGTAGTCCACCTATACCTATCTACCTAACTATTTACCTACCTCCCTACCTACCTACCTACCTACCTCATCTTACCTTTTCTCTCTCATTTTCTCATGGTAATTATAAGAAAAAAAATATATACTATCGAACTGGAATTCTAAACTTTTACAAAAACTACTTTTTAAACATTACATGCTTTGATCAAACCTTTTCCTTTTCTTAAAACTCTTATTGTTAAAGATGGAACATCATTTGTTATTCTTTCATTTTATGATTAACGAGGCATATGTTTGATAATCTTAAATGCTATATATGTATGATTCCCTTAAAAGTTTGTTGTGTTTATAGTTTGTAAGCTCCTAAAGTGATGAATTGTGTGTGTGTTGTTTTTTTTATACTGAACACTAAGAGATCTCCAATGCTAAGGGGCTGTGAGACATGCTTAGAGTTGTAGGTATATTTCTTTTGAGAGAATCTCAAATTTTTGTTACTTTCCCACGGTATTGGATTACGAGAGAACTGACCTTGTTTTTTTAGTTTTTAATGTAAAAAAATGATCCAGATTGAACCAAACTAGTTTGGTTCAACTTGATTTTCAATTTAGCTCGAGTCATATTATTAAGGAATTCCAACTCCTTTTCGGTTGGATTTTGGTTCCGAACCAGACCGTAAACACCTCTAATATGAACAAAGACAATGAAGAATAGTTCCACTCATCACTTTTTGGTTTGGAGATTGAGCATGTATAAACTCATGTTATTGAATTTTTATTTGAATTTATTAATTATACTTAATTTATGTTATTTAATTGGATAATGTTTTGGGTTATTAGCCTAATTGTTGGTTTTGATTAGAGTTTTGCTATTTATATGAATTTTTTTTTTCACATTATGGATATTATTGATGAATTAATAAAAGTTAGAGTTGCATAATTATCTTTCTCCCTTTTCTCATCTTTTTTAGCTCCTATTTCTTATTTCCAACTTCTTCTCTCTCTCTTTGTTTTTTTTCCTTTCTTTTCCTTCTTTACTTCTCTTCAAATCTTACTTGTCCTACATCAACTATGTTATCAGAGCCATGAATTTTAGTTGTTCTTACAACTAAATTGTAAATTCTCGATCTAAAATTGGTGAACTATGATTAAATAAGAATATCTATAATTGAAAAGTAATAAATTAGAAGGAAAAATTATTAAGACTATGATGAAAAATCCCTAATGAATTTATTTAGACCCCAGATGGATTTGTTGAAGGAAACAATTCCTAAATGCTCTACAAATCACATCCATGCAATAAAATCATTCACTAGACCATAAATTGGTTTGCCCTACTCAAAACATGAGAGAAAATCACAACACCCAAGTGAGAAGAGAAATAAATAGTAAAGATAAACAAATCCAATTTATAGCATTAAAAGAATCATATTCTTTTTAGAAAAATCATCTTTCAATGATGATAACTCTAATGCTTTTACCTTTGTTATCAACTTAACTTCATTGGAGTATTTGACCCTGAATGAAATAGAAAAAAAAAAAAAATCCTCATCACCATCCACTTATGACCATGTAGAATCCCTTTTATATTAGTTGGACCAAGTTTTTCAATGGAGGGTCCTTCTATATTGGTCAAGGTTTTTTAAATTTTGTCCATTTAATCAAGCAATTAATAAATAATGATAAATTAGTTTTACAATAAAGGAAGTTAACGAACAATGCTTTAATTCACATAAATAGCTTGGTTAGGATTAAAGAGAAGATACCATCAAAATCATGATTATGTTTTATTGAATAGGAAATCATTGTGCATTAGCCATACTAACCATGGTATTTTTATTAGAAATTCCAATTGTTGGAACAGATCTGATAGGCTACTAGGATAACACCAAAAAAGGCCTTATTTGCCTACAAATTTAGACCATACACACCACTTTTTCTGAAAATGAAGTAGGAGATGATGAACAAATTCCTCAACCATTAAGAAAATTAGGTATATAGTTATACTCCTTTCAATAATACCCTTTTTATTTAGTACACCTCTAATATTGATTTTGTTAATTATAGCCATTGACACGATTAAAATATTGATGTCTTCTCTCAAATGAAAAAATGCCGAAGTAATAAATAACCCGGCAAGACCGAGATTAAACCACATGAAGGTTAACTATGTAAATTATAAACAACAACAAGTTAAAGAGGACTTTGAGATATAAGATTAATGTGAAGATTAAACAATAAAAATAAATGTCAAGGTTAGAGGATCCATTAATAAAAACAAGTATAGTATAAACTCTTTTTATTACTCAACTAGAAACTATACACCAAGGAAGTTCCAATCAGATTATAAATTGTTAACATGATTACATTAGTTATCTTATTCAAATAATATAATATTTGTAAATATTGTCAAGTATTCATGTTTATAACTTATGTTAACAACAAATCAAGTTCCTTTCATAGCACAGGTATAGGTTATACCATACGGTTGGGCTATGAAAGTGCTAAGTATTTATTGTACTAAATGTTATACAACACAAATCTAAATTAACCATTTAACAAGCAAAGTATTAAAAGTGAATGAGATAATAAATACAAAATATGTTAGTATCAAGCATTAAGGTTCATGTTGAGTTTATATTATACTTATTATTACACCATTAATGTAACATTTTCACCTTAATATAATAAACTTAACTAAACATAATAAATAAACAAGATAAGAACATAAATAAGATAAAAGTTAACTAAGTAAAGGAAATGAAATGAAAAGCATAAATAAGAAATTAATAAAAGCAAAACTTAAGCATTATTAGAAAAAAAATAAAGAAAGAGAGCAAAAATATGATATTTGAAAACTAAGATGCCTAAATGCATGGCAAATGCCTCTTTTTATATGTTAAAATTTAAAACTATTGATTTGATTACTAATTATTGAGTGGGTGACCAACTGTTGACTTAGTAACAATCCTTATCTTCTTGTCAGAAAAAAAACATCATTGCTAACATCAGAATTCGAACAGACTTAAATTGTGAAAGTTTTAGGAAATTATCTCAGCTTTCCAATAAAAAAAATTGAGGTCATGTGGATTTTTAGAACTCAAGATATGGGTTGAATACTGAATTGTGTTTGGGCTGCAAGACAGATTCAAACTTCTACATTGTTAAGATTTTGACTTCCAAATAGCATAATTGAGTCTTGCATTTTCATGACTGTTTTAGGCCTATATCTTAGCTTTCTAGTCATATAAACCAAATTAAAATCTAAGATTTACAACTCCAGATATGACCTAATGACTAAATAGTGTTCTAGTTGAGATCGAACCAATATCACTTTTCTAAACATCACCCTCTTTTTGTCTTCTCAATTTTAATAGTTGAACTCATCAATTAATCCTGCATTTAAGATGGACATTTGCCATAAATTAAAGGTAACTTATAGTATCAGACTTGTTATTATAAAACATGCTTTAGTTAAGGAGTTATTGATACTTCAAGTGCAAAATACTGATATAAAATCTTAATAAAAATACACTTTTAAGTGCTAATCAGTCATCCAAGTAACAATTTCAACTTTCAGTGGAATTAGACCTTCCACAAACCATACAAAGAGACACATGAGTTATTATAATTAGGGGCTGACAATGGTATATATACTTGATTGAATATTCACCACTAGAGTTTGGGTTCCAAGCTAATTTATCTCAAACAACATTAGCTAACACCACTTTCTCCTCAAAGTTCCATTCTCCATCTAAAGTTCTAAATCCAAGTAAAGCCATCCTAACTACCTATATTTACCATTGAAGAACATTTATCATTAAAAATTAGAAACAATATAGGAAATTCATCAATTAAGCAAGAACTTCTAATCCATACATCCTTTAAGAAACTGGTATCTTTACCATTTCCAATTAGCACACATACCTCATTCATTACATTATTTAAAAGCCTCTCATCTTTTATATGAAAGTTAACAATCCTAGATCATTCTTGATTGCAATAGTCTTGGATTAAAGATGATTGAAGAAGGTGTTATATTATGAATGATGCATATAATGTTCCTTAAAAAGCCATAACAAAACTACCAAATATCCAGAGCCATTTGAAAAGTAAAGCTTTATTTTTATCTAAGATAGAGCTAATTCCCAAACCATATTGTTTTTTTTTTTTTTGTAGAATCACATATGCTTATGTAAAATCACGTAAGTTTTTCCTATTCTCTTTCCTAGACCATAGAAATGATCTAACTTTATTTTCTATACATGATGCAAAATAGATTGGAATAGGAGAAAAAAAGAAGAAGAAGAAAGATACCTTACCATCAATGCATACATGTTTACCTTTCGAAGCATATAGTTTGAAACTAATTTTTTTTTTCTATAGAAT